CAGAAGCAACGGGCTCTGTGTAACCGCCTGCCTATTATACAAATGACTGTTGCACAAAATGAGTGTCCATTATGCTATGTGACATATCAACCAATTGAAATCATAACTTTGTATAAAAAGGTCTTAGCTCAAAAATACAGTTAAAAAATCAAATCACATGTCCAATATTTTTATTTGTTATTTCTATCAATTTCTTCCATGATATTATCAGAGATTCTTCTATGTGATTTATACTTTTTCAAAGCATACTCTGCTTGTAAAACTGATAGGCCTTCTCTATAACACTCCATATATTTTACTGATCTTAATGCATATTTTCTTATTTGTTTTAATGATATAGAATCAAAGTCTCTGTATATTTTCTTTTAAATCTTTCAGATATAATCACAATGTTGTCTTGCATACCTTTTGGCAGTTTATTTTCGAAAAATTAAAAAGGTTTAAAACGGCTAAAAAGATAAAATTTTCATTTGAATTAGAACGTGTTTCTCCCCAATTTTAGGCATGTGTAACATAATTCGGGCCAAAATTATATGTAACATATAAAATCACATGATTTTAAAAGCTTAGGGCTTCTGAATCAAGCAGTATTTTTTTATTATCTCAATGATAGATTGTAGAGCTGATCAAAAGCTATCAAATATTGTCTTTATTTTTTTGAGATAGCCATTCAATTTTTTCTTTTTAGGTTTTAAAATTAGTCCATTTTTATGTGATGGCTCATTATGTTACACACTGTACCAATTATAAAATAATGAAGCTTTTCATTTTAGGTGAGCAATATATAGTGCAGATCATATATAATCAAATAATTGCTTATAATAACAATTGGTCAGCTTCAAAATATTAAACAAAATTTTTATATCATTTTAAAAAAGTTAACCAATAAGTTTTATTGTTCTTGTATGACTCAAGCTTCAAAACTTATCAACTAGTTTTCTCTTAAACTAAAAATTGGCAGAGCCTTAGCATTTTGAAAATTCCAAATTTTGTCATAAGAAATTAAGGCTAGTAAATTTGGTGTAACAAATTTTTTTTTTGATTTGTTTGTATTATTTATTTCCTTTTTACAATAAAAGTACAATAAAAGTTTAACAACAAATTTAGTCATGTAATTCAAAATATTGTAACACGAAAATTATTATTGCATAACTCTCAAATTAAAAATCTATGAAAAAAAAAATAGAGACAAATTTTTTTTACATGAATCGACTCACTTTTTAAAGTTGAATTGAATGGTGGTGATTTTTTAAAATCCAACATGTGGATCACAGAATATTTCAAATTTTTTAACTCGAGTATACGTAGATGATCCGCATTGTATTATTATTTTTACAGTTGCCTAATTTAGGAAATTTTTGGAAAAATCATCGGGTTTTTTCAAAAATTGAAACATTTGGTTGGATGTAACGAAATTGGGTCATTTTATTTTCATTTCTTTCTATTTATTATACTTTCGTTTATAAATTTAAAAGAAATTACAATTCAAAATTTTTTGAACTATAAATACTTTTTTATAAATTTGAAACAAAATGTTGAGTAAATGTTGCTTTTGCGTTGGCTTGAGGTGAACAAATAGTTTAAATTTTATTTTTATTTATAATTTTATAATTAAATTTAAATTGAAACTTTTTTTTGAAAGGCCAGCAACTCTTGTTTTAGCTTCCCTTGGAACCGTAAGTTTTTATTTATTTTTGTAATCATATTGACAATCATATTAATATCAAACACGATGCCCTTATTTTTTTTTCTTAGTTGGGATATTTGTCCAATGCGTATCATTTTTCACTTTTGGCAGAACAATTAGGTTTATTCTATAGTGCTTTATCTACATATTATTTAGGAGCCTCACTTGTTTGTATTGCTGGTATTATTGGAGTAATAAAGGTAATTAATAGATTAAAGGATTTAAATTTCCAAAACAAAAAGTTTTATTTTTTAATCTCATTTTTACAAAATAAATTTCCTACAAATTTTTGTACGTAGAATAAAGTTAATTATGTCAAGGTTTATGCGTATTTTTACTGGTGGCAACTTTTGATAGGATTCTCTTTATCAATATTCTTTTCTATTATTGCATTTTATTATGACAAAGATATTTGTGAAAAACTTGTTGAACAACCTGAAGTTGATATGGATATGGATGCTTGTATGGATTGGTATATTAAATCAGCTGTCACTATGGTTATTAGTCTAGGAATATCTTGTCTTATTGATGTAAGTTTATTATTATTTTTTAATTTAATATATTTTAATATAGGAAAGAGTTAATAATTTATATATTTTTGGAAACATACATAGCTTCATTTCTGTTTGGCAGTATGGGCTTATTATCAAAAACTTAAGATGGAAGAAAAACAGAGTGAAATTCCCAACCCTGATTATGTTGTTTATTATACTCCTGTTCCAGCTTATGCTGTCTCCCCACCACCAGCTTACGATTCAGTCGCTTCATCTCAAATTGACGAAAAAACTAACGTAAATAATAACACTGATCAAAAGTCTACCACTACTGTTAATGTTGTTGAATCAGATGGTGAACCAAAGAAATAAAAGTTTTTTATAATACTTTTGAATAGTCTTTTATGTTCTTTTATATATATGTATTCAATATTTAAACGGTTTTGTCTTTAAGACTTAAATATTTCTCTTAAAACTAATATATTTCTATAAATTTTATTTTTGTTGTTCTAATAATAAATCAGAACGTGTTTTAATTTTTATTAAATTTTCATAAATTACCATTTTGAAAATGTTAATTATCATCAGCCCCATCACTCCAATTTATATATATATATATATATATATACAGTGCTTGGACAGAAGAATCGGACACCTTAGATGTATTAATTACAAAAACGTATACAAAGAATTTTTATTTATAGCTTAGGTTCCTGAAGATCATGTATATAATTTTATGCCTAGAACTTGAGCAAAGAAACATGATCATTTTTGGAAAAAAAATTTTTTTGATGATAGCAATTTTCTGAATACTATAATGTTTTGAAAATTTATACATGTGATAATCTAAGATCGATTCTGCTTTTAACTAGTAAAAAATTTGATTATCAAAAATTTTATTAAATTCTAGTGATTTTAAAAACATAATACACAGACAGACTCGATAAGTCAGCACGCAGTAATCAATTGTTTAAAGTACTCAATAGTATAAATTATGCGGCTGACTTATCGAGTCTGTCTGTGTATACATGATCTTCGATTCTTTTGGATCAATATACTAATACTGTGAACAGAAAATTCTAACAAATATAGAACCCAAATTGATGTGGTTTTCAAATTGCATAAAAAAAATATAATTTTTTAAAGTTAATTGCTTTAGTAAAATAAAATTTCAATAATATAATTATAATAACAATGTTTAAATTCGTCTAAGTACACATGGTTTCATAAGAACTTCCTCAACAGCATAGGGAATATTAACATTACACTGATAAGTGAAAATTAGAATTAGTGCAATTGTTTGTTTAACTTTATCGATGTATGTTGTTGATTGCAAGATAATTGCTCCTATGTGAGATTTTTTTGAGTGATTTAAATGAAAACAAGGATCACGCATGTTATTTGTATATGTTTTCCAGTTGGAAATATCTGCCACAGCATTATGAAAAAAAAATTTTTAATTCATATATATAAATAAATTATAAGTTTTTTTTCTATTCATAAATGATGAAATAACAAATTATTGGTAGTTTAATGATAATAATAGTAGAATAGTAGTAGTGATTGTACAGTAAAAGATATATTTACAATGTTTTAACAATAATATGAAAACATATTTACATTTATTTTTTACAATTTCTACATTCATTCATTAGTACTAGTATAAACATAATTATTGTTACAGTTCCAAATTTGATCATTTTTCATTTTTCACCATCTCCGTGTCATATTCCATTTCTTTATTGGTACTATTATTATTACCTTTAGTTTTAAAAAAGGACACATAGCGACTCAATTTATCCATCCATTCTTCACGAATATTAGCAAATTTATTTGATGCGGTATAATTACTATCATCTTCTCCAGACGTCTTTATTACAATTGTACTCGTATCATCCCAAGTATCATCACTATAATCATCATAATCATCATCGTCACCCTCATCTATTTCTTGTGATTTATCAGCATCGGGCTCTTCTTTAGATTGGCTTAATAATTTGACACCGTATATTAAAAAAAACGCACCAATTACAACCAATGCTAGTGCATATGGCGGATAAGTATTTAGTTGATCTAGATAAATCAAAGAATTTGAGATACTCATCGTTGTGTAGATTCCATAAAACATTGGGACTACTAATACAGAATCATGAAGTTTCAAAGCCGTGTTTAAACAATATACCTTAAAGTATGATGGATTATTATTATTTATCAATATTAGTATTATTATCAACGTTAATGTTTATTCATTTAGTAGACTTACTTGTAAAATTGCAGTAATTGCAAGCAATACTAAAATGACTGAGCTAAGTGGATCGTCAAATTGATTCGTGTAAATAATTGAATAATAAATCAACTTGACACTTTTTATTATTTATTCAATTTATAAAGAAAGAAGGTGAGCGAGAGAACGATGATATGATGATTACGAAGTAGTAAAAAAACTTTATATATCAGATTAACGTACCCACTTTTTGCTAAAAGTAAAGTTTGACTAGCAATTAAACCACCAATAATTGCCATGATCATACCAATAAATCTACCTAATCTGACCGGATCAATATATTTGATATAACTATGTTTTCGTTTTCTACGATCATCAAATAATACCCAATAGACATACAGAGTGATTGCAAGTGTGATCAAAATAAGAAAATTCAGTATCGAGAAATAAATAATGAACTCGGTTCTTGACATTAATTCTTTTAAATTATCAATCGTAAGTTGTTCAGCTAAGAATAAATAAAATTCCAATATTATATTATATAAATATTTTACGTGCATGTGCATTCATAGAATAATAATAGTAATAATAATAATAAACCTTTTTCTGGATGATTCATATCATTAAAAATTACTATCCAAATTACACTTATTATTACAATCACTGTACCAATAATATCTTTCCTTGTGATAATAGTTTTTACCAAGATTCTTGCAAATATAAAATTGAAAATCAACGCAATGGCTCCAAGTGGAGCAACCCATTCAGCCTTTATATAATCTTTATATATAAAAATCAAAATCAAAATTAATTTTTTTATTTTTTATTTTTTTCCATAAAATAAATTCATCATACTTAAAGCGATAGTGTTTCCAACTGATTGACTGATTATATAAAAATATAAACCAAGATGCCATAAAGGTCTTTCACATTCATTTTTTCGTAATTTAAAAGGTTTATTTTGATTTTTAACGTGATCCAATTTTAATAAATTCAAGCCTGCTGCATTCATTATCGATGATAAAATCGATACAAGGATTCCTATAAAGAAATCTAAAGGTGTTGACTTGTCATTCAGTATATTTTCAGGCATTAAAATTTTGTTAAAAACAAAGATGTTATTATTATAATTAGAAAAATTGGAAATGTCCTATTTTAAATCCAAGGCTTGGTGTGATTTTTTTCTTTTTTGAGGCTTAGAAATAATTTGTTTTTTTTGAGTTATATGAGGCTTTGGATTCATCTTCTTCAATAGATTGAAATTCTCTAATAAGACAATTGAATGTTTAATTTTATGCTTAAAGAGCATATTTTGATTCTAGGAGCTTTATTATTATTTCATCATTTGGTAAAACCCAGAAATTCATCCGAGAGATTTACTTTATTTATTATACAACATATCTCTTGGAAGTTAATTTCTTTTGTGGAAAACCTCACAACGAGCGATCTGCTCGATACCTTACACAATAAATATTGACTTCTAGCAAAGACTACATATTTGATTTTTTATTATTGTGGAGTTTATTAAAAAGTCCCATCGACGTCTTCCTATTCAATATATTGTCCTAATTTGGAAGAAACAAGTACATGTTTATTGAAAATCAGTTATTATTATTAAATAAGCCTCAATATAATAAACAAAGTATGTTTTACTCGTAGAGTGAGGTGTATGTAAATAATTACATTCAAACAAACAATCAAGAGCTCCTTCTGCGATTCTCCTAAAAATCAATACCATAGAGATTGCAGACAAGTATAAGAAGAAAATGAGAAAATTAAAAAAATATTATCGTTTCACAAAAAATATATATTTGTTAAGAGACGCGTTACTACTTTATTGTTTTGCTAAAATTATACAAGCTTGTTTAAATTAGTAATCAAAAAAAATAGAATGTCCAGTATGTCGGAAGTAACAGAAGCAAGCTTAATGTCACCGCCAGTAGATACTACGCTTGATAATAATGATTTGGATTCAGAAGTCTTAGATCCAGACGACTTGGATTCAAAAGATTGGGATATGATAGAATATTACTCGGGGTGAATGATAGAAGGAATAAATTTATTAAAAAAAATAAATTTATTAAAAAAAATAAATTTATATTAATAATTTTAAATTTACCATTGTAAAATAGTCATTTAATAGGTATTACGTTGATTGTATTTTCGATATATTTAAGAATACAATACATTTTAGATGAAATCGTTGATAAACCTTTTTTAAATAATAATGTAAGTATATTTATTTATTTATATTATATCTATACATTATATACATTCTATATACATATTGTATACACATTATATTTTATTAGGTATCTTCTATTGAGTGGCTACTGCTTATTTTAAGTGGGATACATGCAGCATATTTTTTTACAAGAACAAAAAGATATCAATTATTTGATCATGAAGTAGATGTAAGTTAGAATATAATCATCAAATAATTATGCTCTTATTATAAAGAAATATTAACATTGTTTTATCATAAAAGGTAAAACCTAGAAGCAAAAATGTTTCTCTTAAAGAATTACATTTAGAACAATCGAACTGGACAACAAAATTTCCTGCAAATGTTTTGTTAGTAAAATAATATTGTAATAATATTTTAACAACAACAAAAACCTTTTAACAAAAACTTTTTTTATAGTTATCCATTATATCAACAATTTTTTAAAAAGAGAGTTATAAAAGAAGAAGAAGATCATATTTGGGTTTTAAAAAAATGGGATCCATCAATTTTTTCTTCAATTTTATTTTGGTAATTTTTTATTCCTTTTATTTAATTCATTAATATTAAAAAACATTCAAGGATTAATAATAATATTTCTTAAATTATTTAGCTATTTTTCCCCATCTCAAGTTATGATTTTACAATTGTGTAATGGAGATAATTGGAAATCTCTTTTGTCAGCAGTTGTTGTGATTTTTATTCAGGTTAAAAAAAATTCAATCAATATTATTATTATTATTATTATTATTATTATTATTATTATTATTATTATTATTATTATTATTATTATTATTATATAATTTTTCTTTGTTAAATCTCCAATAGATTAGGATCACTATAATAGTCTTCACTTCATATATTAATGATAATAGATTGGTGGCTAGTGAATATATAAATGAATATAATACAAAATTCGTCCAT